TTCTTTCCTCTCATCGAAAGTGAATTGACAAAACAGAAAGGAAAGTCATGTTCAAATCTAATTCCCTGCTTTGGCTAATTAGATATTTTATTATAATGCAACACCTTTTTGTTTTTATTTTTTTTTTTATTTTCCTAAAGAAAAAAAAAATTCTGTGTTGCTTAATTTGTCTTTATCGATTCCAATAGTGCTAATTGGTTTGTTTGCACAAGATTTAGAATTCAAATTATGTATATTGTTTGTAAAAGGTAAAGCCTGCCAAACCATCTTTCCTCAATTCTTCAGTGTTTATTATTAATTATCTCTTGGAGTCAATTTATCGTTGACGTTACAGGACAAAAGTCTTCACATCATAACAACACATAAAAACAATATTGTACACTTCTGCCTAACAATAACATAAGGACTCCCTTGTAAAGTTTTATTAATTTAAACACAAAAAAAGTTATATATAGCATTTCAAAGCTGTAAAGCGATTCAATTATCTGCTAATTAATTAGCTTATTCTTAATAATTTTCGATCCGACTATTTTGCCAGTTTGCTAAACATAATTTCAGTTCCAATCTCCTTTAAAAATAATACTTTAAAAATAATTATAAATACATTAAAAATATATCTACTCTCATTTTACAACCCTTTTGTCATTAATTGAGGAAGAAGAAAATTTGCCCTTTATAATCTTTATGAAGTGGTAGAGTCAATATCAGTGACTAATGTCCACCAGATTCAATTCGCAAAAGCCATCATCATCATCATCTAAAACCTGAACATTGAAATAAAAATAAAATCGACATGTATGTGCGTGTTTCATTTTTTGTTAATTAATAATATGTACAACTTGTACTATATGCCCCGATGTCAATACTTCATCATAAAGGACCACTATTCCATCACCAGACAGGACCTATGTTTATTGATCTCTGTTAGGTCAAGAATATACTTCATTAATTTTAGTTATGGTATAATTCGAGTGTTCGTATTCTTTATTTTTTTCCGTCTCGATGTACAGTGTGAATTATCCTATTCTAAAATTATGTTGCAATTCATGTTTTATTCTATTGGAAGAATGACACGTGTACATGACGACGTCACAACTAAGGGTGTGCATCGGTCAGTTCGGTCGACCGAACCGAACTAGGAAAACCGAACCATATTATGCCAATAATCGAACCGACCGAATTATCAATTTAAACCGAACATTAACCGACCGAACTTCTTGGTTGGTTTCGGTCGGTTTGGTTAAACCGACCGAACTATACATTTTAAAATATATATATAATATAATATAATATATAAAATATATATAGTATAATATAATATAATATAATATATATATACATATATATATATTCGGTCGGTTCGGTTATTTCGGTCATTTGGTGTCCGAAACCTACACCGACCGAAATAACCAAAAAAGCATTCGACTAAAATCGAAAACCGACAGAGTCGAACAAAAATCGAACCGAAATTTTCTGTTCGGTCGGTTTCGGTCGGTTTTTTCGGTTTTGGTTGAATTATGCACACCCCTAGTCACAACTATACATAAGTCAATCATCCAACATAATGAAATAGGAATTTAAGATGATTTTGAGGCAAAAATTATTTTCTTCTGATAACGATAGGGATAGGGGTAAACACGAGTCGATGTGGTTCTAAAATTGAGAAATCCAAAAAACTGTACAGAAGTTCGTTGACTAAAATTCAATCTCCGAAATCGTATCCAAATTCTGTTTGGTACTTGAGATTTCAAAACGACTCAATTTTACTCAGTTCGGAAATTCAAATATTTCTAGTTGTATTTTAAATTTATTCAAATGACTATCTTAAAACTTATTAAAGATTTGATAAATACTATACTTTGAGTAGAAAACATTTACTTAATTGCATTAAATGTGCTAAAGTATTTTAAAAGTTTATCTATAAATCTAGATTTTACTAGATGAATGAAAAAAGTATGAGGTTTATACATGTCTGTTATATGCCATTACATTTGAAATGTGATATCAATGACTAGAAAATGCCACAAAAATTTCAAAGAAAAATTAATAGACTCTTACATGATCATTTTATTTTCAGGTTCACATGCATTGACGATATGATTATTGCATCGAAAAACATGAATAAACACCTCAAAAACTTGAAAACATTCACGCGCTTGTCATATATAAAGAAGAATTAGTACTTTCAAAATTAAAATAGTAAATGTTACAAGATAAATCAAATTCATTATAATTAAAATTGATAAAATTAAACCATTTGCAGAAATATAGAGTACAAATTTTAGATAAGTCAAATTGGCTAACCATTGCAGGCTTTGAGCTAACAAATTTCTTATTTAAATGGATTAACAGTATGTGAACATAGCCAACCCTAGAGTCTTCGGGTTAAACGGGTTAGTAAGGAGCTATTTATCATATTCTTAAAGGCACTCGTATATTTTGATTTCAATTGTTTTAATTTACTTTTAAAAAATTAAAAATAATTGTAATTTTACACATGAAATTTATATTATTTATTTAACAAAAGTACTAATAATTATTTTACAATTAACACAATAATTATGAACATAATAGATTTTGCATAATCTTTGTATTCGACCATATTAATTAATGTCTTTTATGTAATATATAATTTAAATTATAAATGATGATAAATATAAAAATATTTTTTAATATTTTCTCAACCCTCTTAGGCGCCCCAAGCACTAGGCTCCAGTCAACAGCCTGGCGAGAGCCTAGCGACTTTTAGAATATTGATATAAACATACATACTATTTAATGTAAATACCTTTACATATTTTTAGTTAAACTACACAAATAAAAATAAAATTTTATAAAATAATGTTTGATGTGTATTAAAAGTTTATCATTATATACTAAAACAAAAATAGAATTTGTATAATATTTTTTTTTTCCAAACTAAAGAAAAATAAATACAACAAACATTTTCATTGACTAAGTATTTGAGTGTTGTATAATGAACAAAAATAAATAAAGATTTTTTTTTCTATAGCAAAAAATAAATATAGGCATTATAATCTTCTTCATATTCACATAAACGAACTAGTGGACCAATTAATGACCTATGGCCTAGCCCTAACTACTTCGGTAGTATGAGTCAAAAAATCATTGATTTAAATGGACAAAGAAATGGAGGACTTAGGCCTGTTAGTTAGCGGTTAGTTGTTAGCTGATTGTAATAGCTGTTTTGACCAGTGGATAGTTATAACGATTTTCAAAAATATGTTTGGTAAAGTAGTTTATTGATTCATAAAAATATATTTTGTATTATTAACTTGAAAATTATGTTGATATAAATAAACATTGGTTATATTCATTTAATTATTTTATCTTAACAAAAAATATTATTGATATACTAAGTATTTTTCAAATTATTTTTAAATATTTTTTATATTAAAAGTAATAAGTAAAAGAATCTCAGGCGTTGTATTATGTTAAATAATGGATGTTAAAATATAGATCATCCACACCACACTGAATGCAATTGTTTTGGTGATATTTTAATATTAAAAAAATGGAGGTTAAAAAATGGAACATCCACACCACACTGAATGCTATTGTCTTGTTGATTTTTTAATATTAAAAAAAAAAAAAAAATGAAAAATTTATCTAATATGCATAAGCTGTTGCAAAACGCTCCTATTTTTATAGCGTTTTCATTTTTAGCTTATCAACCCAATAGCAAAAAGCCATTTAACCAAACACTATTTTTAGTTGTTTTGACCAAATAAAAGGGCTAAGGATAATGCTACTCGTACCTTTAATTGTACACCTTGTTTTACCGCAATTGTTTTTTATATTTAGGTTTCTTAATATTTTAGGGTTAAAATGTCTGACATTTAAACTTCTTTTTCTTTCATCACCACGCACTCGAGACTTTACAGCACACAAAAAATAAACCCTTGGTAGTTTTCCTCTCTAGTTGTATCGCTATTTACCTTTGAAGATCATCTATAGCAGCCATCATCATGTCACAATCAGGTTAGTATTTATAAACTTTTGTTATATCTCAGTCGATTTTGTGCGAGCTCGAAAAAAATCTGATAGGAAGCTTTGCCTCCAACCCCGATTCATTCTATTTTGTAAAATATATTAAGACCATCTCACCATAAAAAAAAAAAAATAGAGAAACCAATAATCCTATTAATTTTGATTTTAAAGTTTTATGTATTTCACAGGTAACACTGAGCTTCAATTAGGTGATGATAATTTGGAAGATATTGAGGTGCACAAGGAAATTGATAATATGTAAGAAGTGGAAATCATTGGAGAAAAAAGTGACTCAGGAGTGCCTACTATCGGGATGAAGTTCAAGGCACTTGAAGATGTGTACGCTTTTTACAATGAGTATGCGTCTCGTGTTGCATTTCCTGTTAGAAAAAAAAAAACTCGAGAAAAGGAAATGATGGAGAGTTCATAAGTGTGACATACACGTGCTGTAGAGAGGGCAACCGAGCTAGCACATCGAGCAATCCTCTGAAGCCCCATCCAACCATGCAATTTGACTGTAAAGCTAGAATATGCACTTGCTCAGATGTTACAGGAGCATGGCGAATCAACAAAGTGATCCTTGAGCATAATCACCCTACTAGTCATTCGAAATCTCGAATATATAGATGCAATCGCAAATTGAGTTCACAAGTGAAGCGTCAACTTAAGGTGAATGATATTGCTGGAATTCCGTTACAAAAAACATTTAACTCAACTGTTGTAGAAGCATACGGTTATGAGAATATGTCATTTATTGAGAAAGGTTATAGAGATTATGTTGAAAAAGTTCGACGGTTGAGACTTGGGGAGGGTGATGCTTCTGCTATTCTGGATTATTTTACTAAAATGTAATCGCAATGTCCTGGTTTTTTCTTTTCCATTGACTTGGATGAGGAAGGTCGGCTGAGGAATGTATTTTGGGTTGATAATAGAAGCAGACAAGCATATGCTGAATTTGGTGATGTCGTTACATTTGATACTACTTATTTGACTAATAAGTATGATATGCCATTTGCCCCATTTGTTGGTGTTAGTCATCATGCAGAGTCGACATTATTTGGATGTCGATTAATTTCAAGTGAGGACACATATACTTTTATATGGTTGTTTGAAACGTGGCTCCAGTGCATGGATAATCAGGCGCCAATTGAGATTATCGCAGACCAAGATAGAGCTATGCAAAATGCTATTGAGTTCGGGTTTCTTATGACAAAGCATAAGTGGTGCTTGTGGCATATATTAAAGAAGTTGCCTGAAAAATTTGGAATCACACTGATAAGGCTTCCATACTCGCAGCTGTTCACGAAGTGGTCTACGAGTCACAAGATCCAGAAGAATTTGAAAATGGGTGGAATTATATGATTGAAAAGTATTCTTTAGAGAAAAACAATTGGTTATCCAGCCTTTACCTAGAAAGAGGTCGATGGGTCCCATGTTTCTTAAAAACAAGCTTTTGGGCTGGGATGTCCACAACACAAAGAAGTGAGAGCATGAATGCCTTTTTCGATGGTTATGTTACCTCAAAGACATCTCTTAAACAGTTTGTTGAACAATATGAGCAAGCACTGAGATGTAAAGTTGAAAGGGAATTTCAATCAGATTGGCGGTCATCAATTAAAGGGGACGTATGTTGTTAAACAGTTTTCTATCGTACCATATGTTACTATATATGATATAGAGAAACAATTTCAATCAGCATACACGATAACAAAGTTTAAGGAGGTGCAGAATGAACTAACTAAGAAGATGTACCTGGAGCTTGTCTCTATCGAGGAGAACCATTTATAGGGGACGTATGTTGTTCAAGAAGATACTAGAATATGCGGAAGAATAAATAGAAGGTTATATACCATTGTGTTTGCAAGGGATGATTATGATATATCATGTACATGTCACTTGTTTGAATTTAAAGGCATTGTTTGTAGGCATGCTCTAATGATTTTGACACGGCTCGATATCGCTAAATTGCCCGATAAGTACATATTACGGCGATGGAGAAAAGATGTCAGTAGATTGTATATGAGAGTTAAAATAAATTATGTCGGTTGGGTTAGCACTCCTGAGCAGTCATGATATGATGATTTGTGTCGCTCATTCTCAAAGATTGCTGTAATAGCCGCTGAAGATGAAAGACATACGTCTGAAATAAATGACTGGATTGCAAGTAAATACCGTTATCTATCCACAACAAAAAAACGGCCAAATTATGGAAGTAACCTCCATCCGCAACCTGATGTTAGAACTGAAGCAGATATTTGTTTTGAAAGTCAGGTTTTAGATCCAAAATTCAAAACAAGAAAAGTAGCATTATCCAAAAGGTAAACTCCCTAAAAAACTAATTTCCTCTCAAAACGCCATTAAACAAACAAGGCCTTAATCTTGCTTTTTCGATATAAAAGGACATGTCTACAAGGTTTTGGTCTACTTAACATCTCCTAAAAAAAAATACAAGGATCTTTAGATGTTTCTAAAAAAATAACTTCAAAATTTTCATGAAGAATTTTAAATTTATAGGATATTCATAAAAAAAATAAAAAAATAAAAATTCTCACACTACACAAAAAAATGTTCACTCCATTTCTAATGAATACGTAGAATTCAGATAGAGAAAATAGCACAAGGAAGGAATTAAGCAGAAAGGAGTTCTCCCATAAAATCATGTTAAATAATTAATTGTACAAAATTTAGTTTGACCAGGTTTTTATTTTTCATTTAGATCTAAATATTTAGTTCGAGTTTGATTAAATTATGTAGAAAAAATCTATGTTCTAAGTAGATACTTGTTGTATATTTATTTTTTCAAAACTGATTTTCAGTGACTGAGAAATAAATAATTAAAGATAGCCATTAATGGTCACGTAAAAAGTGGTTGTAGGATTCGAAAGGTCATGAGTCATATCCGACATTTGACTGTTGAATGGGAATATCTCTATTTATTATAATAAAAAAGGTTGAAGATATGACAACAACAAGATATGCGCTAAGTGTTGTTGATGTCTTCAGCCAGAGAAGTGCGAGCTCGTCAGCCGTCCGGCTCGGCTCGGGCACTGGCCTGAGCCTTGGCCTTGACTTAGGTACTTGGAAATTGGACTTTCGGCGGCCTTAGACAGTTTGGGCTAGTGTGGGGTTTGGGCTAAAATTGTGGCCCAAAATTAAATTCAAATCGAGTTGAATTTGGACTCGGGTTTTGACTCAACCCGTCAGAGACCTTTCCAGATACATTGTATTTGGCCATGTTCACTCCACTTGACCGTTTCAGGTGGAGTAGTGGTGTGTTACCACCTACAAACGACAAACTTAACTTTTGACTGTTTTCTGCCCATTAGAATAGCCTTAAGTGGGTTGTTACCTGTCTTATGGCAGGTGACTGATGTCATTCCCCACCTGAACTGGAAGTCATATAAATGGAACATGGTAGAGCTACAGAAAGTCACTTACAACATCACATGCATTTAACTATCTCAAAAGCCTCACGCATCGTGTACAAGTGCTATGTTCTCGACTTCGTTCAAGTTTGCTGGAGCTCGAAAATCTAAAGTGCTATGGCTTCTGAGACGTAGTTTTTGTATATTTAGAGATGAGATGCCTGAATCCATCAACACACTAAAGGGCATATTCGTCTTTCAAAAAGAGCAACTCTCATCTTGGTTGATTCTATTCCCGCATCAGCATGTTGTGAATTGTTCTTTTTTTGTTTTTAGTTCAAGTTGTAAAAACTGAAACACATAATTCAGTTCATAGGTTTTTCATGTAATCTAGACACTCAGTTTGTAACAATTGCAAGACGAATATCCATATCTACTGAACTAGTGACTTTTGTTGGAGAAGGTTCGAACACTCAACAAACTCAACAGCAACATCAGCAAATCAACAATGTTGTTTATCATCATCATCCCGTATTGACTGTCCATGTTCCAAACGCTGAAAATCCCGTGAAAAACAATAGTCTTGACTTCAACAGGTAGCAGCAGATGATGCACTTTTACGAAACCACCTTGTGTTTGGTGAAGTACCTGAAGGAAAACCCCACAGTTGTTGCTAAAAATGAGACCCATGTTGAACTACGCACTGGTGTACGATGCTTGGCTGCAAGGTGACTACCTTTGCCGTAACTATGTCCTGAGCAGCTTAGTAAGGAGTTTTACAATGTGTACAACTCGATTGCTTCTGCCAAAGAACTTTGGGCTACTTTAAGGAAGAAGTATAAGACTAAAGATGTTAGGGAGACGAAATTCATCGTCAGCAAGTTTTTAGACTTCAAGATGGTTCACTCCAAGACCATCGTGTTCAAGTGCAAGAGTTTCAAATGATCTTGCACGACATCCATGCTGAAGGAATGACTTTGAGCAAGTCGTTCCAAGTTGCGTTTGTGATCGAGAAGTTGCCATTGGGTTAGAAAGACTTCAAGAACTTCCTTAAGCATACGATAAAGAAAATGAGTTTTGAAGACCTCGTTTTTCGTGTTCGTATTGAGGAGGACAACCATAATTCTTCGAGAAAAGCCCTAAAGATGGAAGCTCGTGCTAACTTTATGGAGCAAGGCCACTCAGCAAAAGGAATCCTTTTGTGAACAATAATGAGAAACTGTCTACCAAGGTTTGGTTATTTAACGGCAAGGGCCAAAACTGTGGAATGCCAAACCGTATGGCTAAGGACTACTAGAAGCCTAAAAAGGCTGGGCCAAAAAGGGTTCAACCGAGTGCCCTCGTTGCTGAACATGTCCATGTGTCGAGTTCACTGACTGACTTTGATATGTCGTCTATAGTGTTTGAAGACAATGTGGTGGATAACCCAAGGGTATGGTGCATTGATATTGATACAACTCACTATGTATGTTCCGACAAGAAGTTGCTTTCTGACTGCACTCCTTCTACCGGTCGGAGACTTCACATATGAAACTTCTATCTGTCTGATGTGGCTGAAGTTGGCACCATGGTGCTAAAGCTAACTTCTGAAAAGGAGTTGAAGCTTAAAGATATTCTTCAGGTCCTTGACATTCGCAATAATTTGTTCTTTAGAACTCTTCTTGTAGAGCTTGGATTTAGGCTAGTGTTTGATGCTAAGAAGATTGCTCTTATAAAGTTTGGAAATCTTCTTGGTTGTGGCTATCTCGACAAGGAATTGTTTAAAATGAGTGTATTGGTTGTGAGTCGTATAATCGTTTCCAATGATAATAAAATACCTATTTCTGTTTATACCGTTGAGTGCACCAATTTATCCATATTAGATTAGGACATGTAAATATAAATTCAATTAAACGGTTGATGAAATTTGAGTTATTTTCTAATTCTAAAATTGAGACATATAAAAATGTGAAATTTGTGTTGAAGCCAAAATGGCTAAGTTCTCGTTTCATTTGGTGGAAAGGAGTACTGAACCACTGGGTTTAATCCATACTGATGTATATGATTTGAACATTGTGCAAACAAGATCATCTAAAAGTATTTTGTAATTTTCATCGCCGATTGCACATGGTTTTGGAACTTATACTTCTTAAGTAGCAAAGACGAGGCTAGGGATGCGTTGAAAAGTTTAATATCGAAGTTTAAAATGAACTTGACAAGAGGATTAAAATAATATGAAGTGATAGTGGTGGAGAGTATGTACCTTCTTTTAAACAAATATGTTCTGAATATGACATAATTCATCAAACAATGGTCCCCTATTCTTCAGAGTGGAACAGTGTTGGTGAGCGCAAGAACCAAACCCTAAAAGAAATGATGAATGCTATATTGATAAATTCTGGATTACCCCAAAACATGTGGGGGAACAAAAAATCATATCCAAAATAAGGTACCTCGTAATGGAAAAATATGAGACTTTTTACGATATGTGAAAACAAAGGTAAGCCATCTTATAAATACCTGAAATTACAGGGGTGTTTGGAAAATATTTCAGTTTCAGAACTCAAACAAATGAGAATCGGACCATAGTTGGCCAAATGTATTTTTATTGGATATGCGTAGAACAATATGACATATAGATTTTGGGTTCATATATTGAAAAATCTGGAAGTATCTTTTAGCACTACAATTGAGTCAAGGAATGATATAATCATATGAGGGGTTGATTGTGCCTAACCATGAATTTGGTGAATATAATGGACTTTAACATGCTCGAGAGGATGATTTTATGGAGGAGGATGAGTTAGTTCATAATGTTATGGATGGTGTTGAGGATGATTCTGAGCCGTTATGCAATGTCGCCGACCTAAAGTTTCCTTTGATGGATTATTCGACTGCCGGTGTTGAGTATGAAGTGGTTCTTATGCTTTCGTGTCATCGTTTTATGTTATTGAGGATAGTGGATGTTTGGAGAAGTTTAGTGAATTTAAGCCCATTCTCCCGACTCTTTAGATCATTGAATACACATCCGAGATGGCACTTATGATGACCGAGAATGATTCGACGTGCTCCACAGACATTTTCGTATATTCGAAGATCATTAACACTTTTTATGGTGATTGTTCATATCTCTGCTCAGTTTCACAAGAACGTGGCCACGATAATTTATTTGGTCTGCCATTGTTTCACTCTAGCGTCTCTACTAACGTTTGAAAATACAAAGGCGTGGCATGATCGTCAGTTTTAAATGGATCCCGGTTGATTTTGGTTTGGGGACGTCAATCTCAAGATGTTAGATTGAGTGCTTCATGAGAGGTAACCCACGGTTTTGTTCTTCCTTGTTTTTCCTATTTTATTATATTAAAAAAAAGCCCGTGTTGACCTGCTCAAAAGCACCAACCTGTTAGTGTCGAGCCAATAAAATTAATAGTCAGGCAAAGCACAAAACACACATGGGATGCTCAGAGAAGTAGACGGGGAACTTCTGAGACTTAGCGCGATTTTTATCACTTTTGGGACGATTTTTCATCTCCATTGTGCTCACGACTCGGAAATGCCTACACAGCACCCACGCACAACCCAACAACATCCGCACAATGTTCAGCATTATTGATGAATCATGCGCGATGCACGCACGCAACTCGACATCGCTCGCGCCCCCACGAGATGACCAGGAGCACGCGGGCAATTTCAACAGTGCCCAATTCGTGGCGCGACCTCGTATGATACCAGTGGCCCTACACTCGCGACCCCACGGGACAACCCACCACCTCGCACATCATTTTTACGTGCTCATATCCACAACGCGGGCCTATCCACGACCCCGCGCGTCTGTAACAACTGTGCCCAAGTGACCCGACGCGTCTCCGTGCATGTCCGCGTACGTCCCTGCAAGCCCAACGCATGCTCGCACGAGCCTCGACCAAGTCGCACTGCTCTGCACCTGGACCAACCTTGAGGCACCATTGAGCC